GACTTCAACCAGTTCACAGCTGGGACCAGCACCGTCGCCTTACTGGTCGGGTTCAGTGCAGGGCAGGTCCAGCACCTCGACCTGGTGCAGAGGGACACCAGCCGGCTCTTCAACCAGGAGGTGACAGGCCCCAGGTGTCCCCAAGTGTCCCCAGGTGTCCCCAGGTGTCCCCAAGTGTCCCCAGGTGTCCCCAAGGGTCACCACTTGTCCTCAAACGCCCCCAAGTGTCACCAAATGGCCCCAAATGGCCCCCAATGGGCCTCAATCTCATCGGTGTCCCCAAGTGTCCCCAGGTGTCCCCAAGTGTCCCCAAGGGTCCCCAGGTGTCCCCAAGGGTCACCACTTGTCCTCAAACGCCCCCAAGTGTCACCAAATGGCCCCATATGAGCCTCAATCTCATCCTCAGGGACACCAGGTGGCTCTTCAACCAGGAGGTGACAGGCCCCAGGTGTCCCCAAGTGTCTCTAGGTGTCCCTGAATGTCCCCAAGTGTCCCCAGATGTCCCCAAGTGTCACCACTTGTCCTCAAATGCCCACAAGTGTCACCAAATGGCCCCCAAGTGTCACCAAATGTCCCCAAATGGCCTCATATGAGCCTCAATCTCATCCTCAGGGACACCAGGTGGCTCTTCAAGCAGGAGGTGACAGGCCCCACCAGGTGTCCAGTGTCTCTAGGTGTCCCTGAATGTCCCCAAGTGTCCCCAGATGTCCCCAAGTGTCACCACTTGTCCTCAAATGCCCACAAGTGTCACCAAATGGCCCCCAAGTGTCACCAAATGTCCCCAAATGGCCTCATATGGGCCTCAATCTCATCCTCAGGGACACCAGGTGGCTCTTCAAGCAGGAGATGACAGGCCCCAGGTGTCCCCAAATGTCCCCAGGTGTTCCCAAGGGTCACCACTTGTCCTCAAATGCCCACAAGTCTCATCAAATGGCCCCCAAGTGTCACCAAATGGCTCCAGGTGGTCCCAAATCTCCCTCAACTTGGTGCTGAGGGACACCAGGTGGCTCTTCAAGCAGGAGATGACAGGCCCCAGGTGTCCCCAAATGTCCCCAGGTGTTCCCAAGGGTCACCACTTGTCCTCAAATGCCCACAGGTCTCATCAAATAGCCCCCAAGTGTCACCAACTACCCCCAAATGTCCCTTAACTTGGAGCTGAGGGACAGCAGGTGGCTCTTCAAGCAGGAGGTAACAGGTCCCTGGTGTCCCCAAGTGTCCCCAGATGTCCCCAAAGGGTCCCCAGATGTCCCTGAGGTGTTCTAAGATCTTCTCAAACCCCCAGAAGTGTCCCCAGATGTCCCCAAATGTCCCTCAACCCCAAGAACCCCAGTTTGGGTTCCCCAAATGTTCCTTCTCCTGCTGTTGCTTCAGGGTCACCCCAGGGTCACCCCCTCATCTGTCACTTCTGTCCCCATTTCTGTCCCCAAACATCTTGATGTCACTCAGTGTCCCCATTAATGTCCCCAAACATCTCCTTGATGTCCCTCAATGTCCCCATTTGTGTCCCCAAACACCTCCATGTCCCTCAATGTCCCCATTTATGTCCCCAAACATCTCCTTGATGTCCCTCAAGGTCCCCACAGACGCCGCTTCCACCTCTACCATCACCAACCTCCACGACCTTCCTTCTCCTGCCTCT